AGCTTCATGCTTAAACTGTTGAATCTGCCTCTTGAGTAATGACGAGAAGCCTTTCTCCAATCTGTTCCAGTTCTCATCATTGCAGCAAACTCATCATAACTAATTCGTCCATCCTGCAGTCATCAAAGAATTGAACCAATTAAGTTGAGATGCATTGAATGAAAATTGTACTTATTGCAAAATATCTTACTTTATCCGTGTCCACTTCTTGGAAGATGTCATTTGCAACATCAGTACAATCATCTACTCCATCTTCCATCAATGCTTCCCGGAGCTCATCTGGCTCAATATAACCATTCCCGTTGTTGTCAAAATAGGAAAAGGCCTTCCTAAGGTGCTCATCATTGGCCATTCTTTCCAGATGAAGTGAAACAGCAACAAATTCCCCATAGTCCAGTTTCCCCGTACCATTAGCATCTACCTGTTTCCAACCAACAAATTTTACATTAGATCAAGAGAACTAGCATTATCCTCCTTATTGACTTCACACATGACCAATGATTCACAGCAAAGAGGCAAGTAAGATTTTAAAATAACAATAATAATTAAAAATAAAAAATAAAAAAATCTTTCTCCGACAGATATCTAGCCTTTCTTACTGTTATTGATACATTTGACAGGCCAAGGGAGTGGAGGGATTCAAAATTAGGACCTCTAGTCTCTCTACATTGGAAGAAAGGAATAGTTTGACTATGTATTGACTAAACAATTGGCTCTGATGACAACTAATTAAAAATTCTGGTCATATCAGGAATTCACCTAGATGTTCCCTCTTTGTTGTATGAGTATTACGACTGGCATGAACTGTCACACTTGACAATCCAATTGAATGTTGACCAAAAATAGGAAGCATGGTGTCACCCATACGTGAAGAGGAAACACCTTAGAAGAGTAATTTCTTGAAGCCAATAGCCTAAATTTTCATCAACTAATTAACAGTCCATAGAAATATAGTAGTCAGCATTGGAAAACAGAAGCTCAAAGATTTTTTTTCCTAAAATATAGGCTAGCTCTCTCTCTTCTTATAAAACTTGAATAATGTTGTATGAATGCAGATACATGCTTCAGGAAACAATATTGTGTGGTACATCAAAGAATTGATAATTTTGGAAATAAAAATGATCAACTGTTAGCTTTTAGGAGAACTCACAACTTGATTCAAGTTATCATATTATGGTACCCATGACCATGCCATGAGATGCCATATTCTGCCAACTGCTAATTTATTGCAGTGCATTACTAAGAAAATATGTGATACTAGATAAATATAATGATTACCAAGACAAGATCCATGACAATCCCATCAAAAATATAAAAGGAATTCTATGACTATATAGGCAGTATTCAAAGTAGAATACTCACAGCTTCAATAAGCATCTGAGCTTCAGATTCTACAAGCTGGGAGCCAAAATTTTTAAGACCAGCTTTCAACTCTTCAATTGAAACTACACCATCATTATCAGTGTCCATCTTCTTGAACATTTCCTTGATGTCTTCAACTTCTTCACTCGACAAGAATTCAGCAATAACCTAAAAGAAGGTAACATTAAGATTTATTTAGTTAAAAGGAAACAATAACCAAAAAAACTAGAGATGGGAAATTCATATAGTTCACCCACCCTCAATGCTTTTCTTTTGAATCGGTTCATCATTGAAAATTGTTTAAGCCTGGACTTGACAACATCCCCAAGAGGAACATTAGGGGCTTTTTTAGCATTTTGGAGCCAAGGATGCTCTGTAAGAAGAGAAAACGTGCACAATAAATTTGTTGATCATGAATACCTCAAAACAAATACTGAGCAAGGTTCTCATTATCATAATGAATAAGCTTAAAAAGATGACCATCCTTCAACATACAATTCAGCATTTGATATCATAAATAATTTCTTCATTTAATCTATCTGCATTCCCTTTCCTTCAAATAATTAACCAACTCTTTTTGTCCATAGACAAGCACATCTAAACAATTAACATGTACTAAAACAGCTCTAGAACACAGGGAAAGTGTTATATTTTAATATGCAGCAGTCTTGTCATGAAGTGCATATTTCACAATAATACATGCCCCAAAGCCCTCATGCAAACCCCACCAGCCATTTACACCAACTAAAGGACTATATAACTGCCAAGAAAACACACAAACTTGTAGGAGAAGTGGGTATGAGATGTCAATACCAAGCACTTGCTGTGCGGTAAGTCGACGCTTTGGATCTGGCTCCAACATTTGCCTGACAAGATTCTTAGCACTCTCTGAAATACTAGGCCATGGATCACATTTGAAATCTATCAACCCACGAAGAATTGCCGGTGCAACTCCTTGTTCAGACTCTGCATATAAGGCACACTTATGGTAAATGGAAAATTTTCAACTGACACTTGATGCATGAACATATACGTTTGCATCACATTTATGAAAATATAAATACAAACAGATTTTTTTCCATCTAACAGAGAGTTTGGGGGGGGCAGAAGGGAGACAAATCCATGCAGACATCACTTACCAGCCCAAAATGGAGGAACCCCACACAACAGAATATAGAGAATGACTCCTGCACTCCATATATCAATTTCTGGCCCATAATTCCTTTTGAGCACCTCAGGAGCCATATAATAGGGGCTTCCAACAATCTCAGAGAATGTTTGGCCTGAAATTTGTAATTTAGGCATTAGAAAACATCATAACCATAAAAATAAAAAAAAATAAAAAAAAAAGGCCCAAACAATAAATAATTGAAAACATTTGTCAAAGATACGGCCAAATCAACATTACACTGAATGTGCACTAGGATCACATACTGTGTAACCGTGACAGAATGAAAGCACAAATTAACCTGTATGAATAATGACACCATGGTGCAATACAGAATAAACTATTCTTCAAGAGAATGAACTTCATAGGCACACTTCTACCCAGAACAGAGCTTTTTAAGGAAAATCTAGAACTCAGCAGTGGTGGTTCATAAAATTCTCACTCAAAAAACTGAACGAATCCATGTAATAAAAAATCAAGCTTTAATTATGCTTGCATCTAGGTCCATGCCTATAGCCCTTTACTTTATGTCTGCTCATCTTCTTGTACATTTAGCAATTCCCATTGCATAACATTTTACACAAACAACTCCCTTAATGCAATCCTAAGGATGGAAGTAAATGCTTTTGCAATATATCAATGTCATGCTTGGTACATACCAACTTTGTTCAACATAAAGCCTACACTGCTGTACTATTTAGAATTTACAAAAATAGAAACTCCAATGACAAGTAAAGAAAAACAAAATTACCTGGCTTGAAGAATATAGACAATCCAAAATCAATAGCCTTTAATGGTGAATTCTCCTTCTTATTCGCAAATAAGAAATTTTCTGGCTTCAAATCCCTGTGAATCACTCCATGCTCATGACACAGCTGAACCACCTCCACTATCGTCCTCGTCACTGTAGCTGCCGCTCTCTCCGTATAATGACCCCTCGCCACAATCCTATCGAATAGCTCACCGCCCTCACACAGCTCCATCACCAAATGCACCGCATTGTTATCCTCACGCGCCTCCTTCAAGCTCACAATGTTGGAATTCTTCGGCAAATGCTTCATTATGGCCACCTCTCGCCTCACATCCTCGATATCCACCGCCGTTCTCAGCTTCCTCTTAGAAATAGACTTGCAAGCAAGCAACTCATGCGTGGAGTGATCAATACACAGATACGTCACCCCGAACTCCCCTCGTCCCAGCTCGCGACCCAGCAAGTACTTCTCCTCAATATTCTCCTTAGGAACTCCACTTAGCACAATGATCGGAGCCTTTCCTTTGAGACCCTTTATCCTGATGTAAAGTCTGTACTCATCAAAAGTCATAGGCTTATACAGCGCTGGCCGCTCCTCTGTCACCAGCTGCTTTGCTGGCTCGATCAGCAGATCACTCTTGGGATTATAGAAGAAAGCCAGGGACACACGATCTTTAGCTGAATTCACAATCACACGGTGTTCCACACTCTTGTAAATTGCATTGCTGAGTACCTAATTATGAAATTATCAGTTAGAAACATCAACAAAACTTGGGCAAGGCTATGAAAATCAATTGTGGGACTCGTAGCATTAGGTTACTAAAAGACTAATTCACGAATAAATAGGTTTTTTAATTGTAGAGAAGAGGAGGGAAGGGGAAAAGAGATAAAGTTATTATAATCAATTAAATTATTTTGTTAACCCAATAATTTAATTTAATTGGTCAAAACAGGGCTTCTTCTCCCCCAGCCCCCACCTCCTTCTTTTGCTTCAAATCAAATAAGTTATAAGATACAATAACTTCAGTAGTTGTGAAATTAGTTGCAGTAATCCAAAAGATTAAGAGGGGAAAGTTGATTATATATACCTGAATTTGATCACCCATGTTGACGATAAAGGCATCCGGGACAGTCTTAACGGTGACCCAATTGCCGTTCCGGCGGACCTGAAGTCCGGCGACATCAACATCCGGTAGGAGGAGGGTCATGCCACCTGGGTCAGAATGTGGAGAGAGGCCTAGAGTGAGGTCCGGCTGCGGGCATTTTGGGTAGAAATTGACCCTTAAGCAGCCACCAAGATTTTCATCCCCACCAAAGGCATTCAGAAGATAG